ACCAGTGCTTTTACTAGTGGGAAATTAATTTCCAGAAATGGATTTTTAGACAAAAGACATATTTAGGTTTATTGCTGTTGATTCATATAGTCAGGCTAAATGGGAGACAGGGGAAAGCAGCAACTCATCATTGAAACAAATGCCTTTAATCCCAGTGCGTTGTCTCAGACCTGATGCGCAAACCATTAGATCATGTTGCAGCTGCCCTTCAGTAAGAAATCAGACGGCTAATTTGTTCCATCATTCTCTGTGGGACACCTTCCCCTCCCATACTCTGCCAGGCACCTAGAGGGACAAGCCATCCCTTTCCCCAGCCAAAATCATCCATTTAACATGTTGGCTGTTATCTGGGAGCAGTGACAGGTATGACCCACTGAGCTTGAACACGGGCAGCCTCTCCTCCAGACAGGAGCCTGTACAGTTGGCCAACCAGGTTACTGAGCTTTTGGCAGTCCAGCAGCAGTTAAAGACAAAGGGATCTTTCCCCAAGAAGGAAAAAGCCATTTAATAAGTTTGGGTCAGTTTGCTCTTAACAGCCCTACGTTTGAGGACCCAAACCCCAGGAGCTTGGCAAGCGGCAGTGCTTGGCGGGCCTCCCACCAACTCCACCAAGTCTGAGACTGCCTAGCCTAGGCTTTGGCTTGGTTCATTTAAGAGCATTCCTGGTTAATAAGAAAGTGAAGGCAGAGGATTCTTTCCTCCCATTAATCCAAAAGAGTAAAGCACAGTGGTCACAAGCACACAGCCGTCCAAGAGCTGCCAGTTGAGGGCACAGGCCATCTGTTTGCATTGAGGGCGGTGTTTGCTCTATGAACCTGAGAGCCAGTGGCCCACCAAAAAACGACCTTAGTGTTCAGGAATTGGGTGGTGCTGGTTTTTACATGTGAATTAACATCTGTATACGACTAAGTGGTGTGAAAGCCTGATTTTATAGTGTGTCAGAGAGGCATCGTGTACCTGCCTCGCAAGTAAATAAAATAAAAAACAAAGTCCGTTGGTATAAATGTTTGAAAATACAGTACATTTTCATATTTTTCCCTTTACCTATGGAAATCTTGCCAAAATGAAATCAAACTTGAATTTTTACAGGGGGTGGGGAACAAATAGCTCATGCGTTTTGAAATTATAAGATGGATGGGGGAGGGAGCTCGTTTTGTGTATTTTGGGTTTCATTTTCCTCTACCAAAAAAACAAAAACAAACTTCCAATCAAATAAACAGGTCTAATCACCCAATGATTGGTGACTGGAATGCAGATGAAAATGTTAGGAATGAGTTTGTTTACACTTGGAAACCCAGCAGCACCTGCAAATGATAAAAATGAGTGCCAACACTCCAGACTGTGAGGAAACAGGCCTGTGCCAGCCGAGCTGTCAGAACAGCTGCTGCTGCCTAGGGTGGGGGGCAGCGGGGACAGGGTCCAAGTCCCCGCTCTGAAGTGACCCCCAGAGCTTTTGTACCTGCAATTGTTAGGAAGCGGGCCACCACTGTCCCAGCATCAATCCAGAGAAGGAGGCGAGAGCTCTCTGAAGATTTTTTTCTTCCTTGTTAGAAATTTTCACCAATGTGGGTGTCGTGTTCATACAAAGTTTGCACTAGCCCTTTGAAACAACTTCTCAGTGATTTATTTTAAATATATATGGCTCTGTGTAGGCTTAAATTTGTGAAGTTGCTTAATCCACTTCCAGTGCTACTCTGGCCCCTTAAAATGAGCCATGGTCACAGCTTGGTGCACCAGACTAGCCTTATAAATCCTGAATTTCTCTACAATGTGTTACTGACAGTTAGTTGGGGGTCAAGTTGGGTCATTGTCAGGGGCCTCTTGGGCTGTGTAGGGGGTTCAGCAGACTCCATGACAATTAGTATCCTCCTTCAGGTGGTGACCTTGGAGGGGCTTTCCACACACCAGGAAACATCTCCTTGGCAACTTGTCTGTGGTGGAAAACTGCCTCTGTAATGTAAATAAATCATAGATGTTTTGAAAGTTCAGAGTACTAGAATGGCATATGTGAGTGTCCCCTTTGCTGCTCAGAAAGAATCATCTAAAGATAATCACTGTTTGGGGTCGATGATGTGTCCCAGCAAGATGTCATGGGTATGAGTTTACACTTCCATTTTCAGTTATGACATTTCAATGTGAGTTTTTCTGGGTTTGGAGGGTTTTAGGTTTAGGTTTGGATTTTGTTGTTGTTTTGAAGGATTTCTGTCTGTTTTTATGTCAGTTGGTTTCCTTTTTTTTTTTTTTTTTTTTTTTTTTGAGGCAGAATCTTGCTGTGTAGCCCAGGCTGGCACCAAAATCAATATCCTCTTGCCTCAGTCTCCAAAGTGCAGAACTTCAAGACACATCCTTGTTTTGCACCTTGACTTTTCTTTTCATGATGTGTCTAGGAGCTTTGTATGTGACAATAGATGCATATGGATTTATAGTACTCTTCTAGATAGATTATTTATTAGGATTCAGGCATTGCGCTGGTCTGCCCTGTCACCTGGCAGAATGCACTCAGGCAGTATCCTGGTCAGCCTAAGGCCCTGTGGTTGCTAGGTCACTATATAGGTGCATGGATGTGCAAAGGACACTTTAAGAGAAAAACTCCACTCACTTCCGCTCTTTTTCCCGCTGTTACTCTGAAGGGACAGACAGAACTGTCTCCCTCTTCCTCTCTTTCTCCTCTCCCCCCTTCCTGTCTCTTCTCTCCCCCCTCTCCCTTCTGTTTCCCCCAAAAAACTTCCCACTTAAGCTCTGTCTGTCTGGTATGTTTGTCCCTCACCTGCCATGGGATCCTCCAAAGTCCTCCAAGTGCCATATTATGCTATAATTGTTCTTATTAAACAAAAGAGTCCTCTACAGCCATTACCATGTAGTGTATGCAGGTCCTATCTTTTCAAATAATGTCAAAGCAAACACATTTTTTGTGTGGAGTACCACATGACTAAAGCTGTAAGATTTAAATAATGAAAAGTGTGTTCCTGGAAGTGAAATCCTCAAGTCAAAGGAAAGTACTTTGAACACTTAAATGCTGCATTCCTAGCTAAGGATTAGGGTAGCTAGTTCTTCAACTTGTCAAACTAACTAACCTCTTTGTCCACTTGGCAGGTAAAAAATAGTAACTCTGTGAGGGGTGTTTAATAAAAATGAAATTTCTGAGGGTCTCCAATGTAGCTGGGTGATGGAGTATAGGCCTGGCATAACCTGGTCTCTGGGCTCATCCCTAGCACCACAGGTACTGAGCAAAGAGGCAGAAAGGGCAGTGGACCTACTGTTGCTCTGCTGTCCACTCCAGCAAAGAAAGCAGGAAGGGAGGGAGGGAGGGAGGGAGGGGAAGAAGGGCAAAGGGAAAGGGAAGAAGCAAGGTGGTGTTTGATTCTGCTGGCTTGTGAGACACTTAGGAATTTGACTTTATTCTAATAGTGGTTTTTAACTCTTGTATAGACATGTTTTAGATTTTTTTAATCAGCTGGGCAATCTGAATTTTAACCAATATAATAAATGTAGGCTATTGCTTCTTTCATCTTTATGTTGCCAGAGTTTGATTTTTCTTTGGTTTTCATGACTTGCTGAAATTCTTGTAACACTGTTTCACTGAGTCTTCTAAACTTTAGCTGCCTGTCTCTATTCTGATGTCATGCTGGGGAGAAGTGGGAAGCCAGCTTCATCATTTCCCTTTGCAGATTAATGGCCTCTTCTCATTGAATATATTGCATTAATTTTATAACATTTAAAATGCAGGTTGTGAGAGAGATCCAGTTATAGAGCATATGCTTAGCATGCATGAGACTGTGGATTAGAAGAGCCCCAGCCCCAGAAGGCAATAAATTAAGAAATAATAAGCATACTAACTCCTATATCAGCAGATGTGGGAATGCTGACTGATCCATTTCTATTTCTGCCTCTTGTTTTCTTTGCTAAGTCAAAGGTGCATCCTCCACTTGCACAATGAGGTCTTAGAAATTTTTCTTCTGTTATATCGTTGAATACTTTTGTAAAATTTTGTTATTTTAATATACATTAAATTTTTGTGGGTCAGAAAGATAGTTCAGCTAGTAAGGCACTTAGTGCCAAGCCTAACTTCTGAGTTTTATCCAGGAGACCCAGATGGTGGAAGGAGAAAACCAACTCTATCAGACTGTCCTCTGAATGCCACAGATATGCCTATGGGGAGCATTCTTACTAAAGCCACCACCATTGCCATGAGTTTCCTTGATGATGACATTCTGATTTGCATATCCCAGACTTTTCTCATGTGTTTTCTGGCCATTTTGTATCACCTTCTGAGAACATTCAGTCCAATTAATTCATTTTCTCATTCACTGATTGAAGTGTTTGCTTATTTCACATTTACTTTTTCAAAAGCTTTATGTATTTTAGCTATCAATCTGTTCTCTGACATATAGTGCTTTGCTTTATAGCTGCTCATGAATGATAAGTCAGAATTTTATTTACTAATATATCCATGTTTATCCGTGTTATCATAAAAGGTGATTTAAACATGATTCTTATCTTTATGTATTGACCTTTGCTGAGGTGGAGGACAGTCAATTAAGGAAGTTACTATTTTGTCGACTAAAAATGCATATGACCAACAGAAGTGTTTCTTGGTTTTTAACTAGTTATGATCTTTAGCTGTTTGATAATGTCCTACAAAGAGAAAACATATTCATCAAATCAATTTTATGGGGGGAAAATGCATGAAAGTTCAGACTCATTTAGTCAATCAAAGTGTTGACTCAACGCATGTTTGGTATAGATTCATTTCCCTTTAAACATGGCACATATAACCTCCCAAAGTTGGTGCATCTTTAATGTGAATTTTCAGGAAGATATTGATATTTATGATACTGGGAATTTATGTTCCTTGAACGGATAACTGCCACAGTCCTGGCACACCGTCTCTCTCGGCAGCTGTGTCCAGCTGGTGGTCCACAGTCCCTGCTACTTCTCAGTGAGTGGCAACATTTAGATCTATATTGATATAAAACTTGACCATCTTTGTTCTCTTGCAG